TGTAATGAGTGTATTAATACTAGCTTCTGGTTATCACATCCTGTATACAAGTGACTAAAACAGCTTGAGTGAGTTTTTAGAAATACCAAAACTAAAAATGATACATTTTCAAAATTGTATTAACATAAGCTGATGTACATAGAAATGCGTGTTAAGAATAATCATTGACATTTGTACTTGCCTGTATGGCAACATGGCCATGAGCTGCATGTTATTTACTGTCTGTACTATACTGCCATCTACCGTTAACGCATGTTCTTTAGAACGGACACATTGATGAATTGACAGGGCTCGTAAAAATCTAACATATTTGCCAATAATGTTCTTTATTTAACACAAATACCTCTGTGCAATAAACAGACATTATGAATCTCTTTTTCTTTTTCAACGTTTCAGATAAAAAAATAAAAGTAAAACAGAAAGTACACTTTAAACAAGATACATGTAAATAAACAAAGAGATAAATCATTATTTTATGCTAAATCAATTTAAAAAGGAGAAACAGTTGCTATCTTAAAAGCATAATATGAGCAAAAACATTTCTACCATTAGAGTCAAGAGCACCACCACACACAGAGTTAATGGAGAAATAGTAACCGTGTGTTTGTTATTCAATATAGCATTTTGTTTGTTACAAAAAAAGACATTTGAAAATAAATGTATAGAATATTTGGTTTGAATGTACATATGAGAACAATTAATAAAAAACAACCAGCAGCAGTAACCCTGCATTTTGTCCAACTGCAATTATCACTGGTTTGAGAGGCCAATATAACGGAAAGATTCAACATGTTTTCAACATTATGTAAACTAATCTCTGATGCGACTCCATTGAGTGTAAGGAACGTGGAATCAGGGGAAATCCTGATCTATATGGAAAATAATCTGGAGAGAAAGTTTAGTATACTACTAGTGGTCCTCTGTAGCTCAGCTGGTAGCGCACGGCACTTGTAACGCCAAGGTAGTAGGTTCGATCCCCGGGACCACCCATACACAAAAATGTATGCACGCATGACTGTAAATCGCTTTGGATAAAAGTGTCTGCTAAATGGCATATTATATTATCACTACTGTTGGGTAAAATTCTAGAGGCTAAAATGGTGTGCTTTGTGTGTTAACATGTTACATGAGAGCCATCCTCCCATTGCTAGGGCAACAGAGAGGCAATGTGACACTACAGAGGGTAGTGCGTATGGCCCAGAACATCACTGGGGCCAAGCTTCCTGCCATCCAGGACCTCTATACCAGGCAGTGTCAGAGGAAGGCCCTAAAAATTGTCAAAGACAAGGCAAGCAGTACCGGAGCACCAAGTCTAGGTCCAAAAGGCTTCTTAACAGCTTCTACCCCCAAGCCATAAGACTCCTGAACAGCTAATCATGGCTACCTGGACTATTTGCATTGCCCCCCAAACCCCCTCTTTTACGCTGCTGCTACTCTGTTTATTATTTATGCATAGTCACTTTAACTCTACACACATGTGCATATTACCTCAATTACCTCGACTAACCTGTGCCCTCGCACATTGACTCTGTACCGGTACCCCCTGTATATAGCCTCCCTACTGTTATTTTATTTTACTGCTGCTCTTTAATTATTTGCAATTTGTTCTTTTTTGGCTTATCTATTTTTTACTTAATACTTTTTTTTTCTTCTTTTTTTTAAACTGCATTGTTGGTTAAGGGCTTGTATGTAAGCATTTCACTGTAAGGTCTACCCCTGTTGTATTCGGCGCATGTGGCAAATAAAATGTGATTCGATTTTTTGACAAGGTAATATTACAGCACATATAAAATAAGACAAACCATACAATTGCATAGAATAACAAAAGTGTATTAGGCATGATTATCTTTTTAACCTCTTATTGTGGTTTGGTAGAAATATAGACGATTGTCATTTAAACTAATTAGTCAAAACTAAATGCTGTTTGGCAAACAGACACAAAATGCACTCTAAACAGCTCACTAAACGTGGATTTGATCTTGTAAACACTTTAAATTAGAATTTTGTGAATTTTTAAAATGATCCTTAAGATGGGTTGGTGATCATCTCTATGATATATTTATATATTTTGGTATTTTCATTAAATATTGATCATCCAAAATCTATATTTTTGATACATGGCACTTGAGGCAGGTGGCAAACGTATCTTCACTTAGTCACATATTTGTGAACCCTCAAAAGAAACCCCATTGTATTTATTTCATACATTTGACCATCTAATCATATTTATTTCTTTGAGCCTTTCAGTCCGATAGTCCAATGACAATTCCAATATCATTGGATCTTTTAATGACAAAAGGCACTCCTGGTAAAGCTGAGCTCAAATTGTAATTGTTGTAACAAACATGAAGACACACGACTGAGGCCCAAACTATGGCAGAGCAAGTCAAATATAAAACTCCACCCAGAACCCCAAAACGTCAATTACACTTCAATGTCCATTCAAGTGTAAAAAAGCTGATGAATGGTGTCAGAACACTGGACTCTCCCCACTAACAGATGTCATGGCAATGACACTGCAGTGTTGCCTCCTCACATTTAACCTATATACATCTAATTGTATACATCTCTCTAGGAGAGGAATGTATATTGTTTGAACAAAGATCATATGCATCTTCTTATATTAGACTAGCCTGGTTGTCCAGTCAATCGCAGAGATCAATATTCACATGAGCCCCAACTGACCTCACGGTGTGAGTAAAAACTTTGAAATGGCCACAAGGTGGCGATGTTGATTCAATGTGGACCTTAGTCCATGAACTCTGTCTGGTGAAAGGGAAAAGGTTTGTTTTCTCACTGCTTTGCCTAGCCATCATTTGTTGCATTGAGCGGATTTCATATTTTGAGCATGCATATTGCCTAAACATGTTGTGTGGGTAAGCCTGGGGAAAGCTCTGCACATTTGGGCGTCTACATAATTTGGCACTCGCATTCCTTGAACTGAACGAAGCTAACTAGCAAAAACAACCTGACAATGGACACTATACTGCACCTCAAACAATCACTGAGTGGTTCATTTACAAGTAAAGGTAGGCCTAAATTCATTTTCCTTTGCAATTTGCGGTTTAGGCTACTGTTGAATGAACATGGCTGGCTAAATTCCCAATCTGGCCCCATACCATCCACTCGATTAGACAACAATCACCCCATTAAAAGGTGGAAACATCTTACCAATCACACCTAAATCATCCCCAGCTTCCAATTGGATCATTCATCCCCCCTCCTCTCCCCTGTAACTATTCCCCAGGTCGTTGCGTAAATGAGAATGTGTTCTCAGTCAACTTACCTGGTAAAATAAAAACAAGAGAATAGACAACCTCCCTTTAATGCATTTGATTTATCAAGCTAGAATTCTTTTTTTATGAGACACTGCATTTTTCAGTCATTTCAATTGTTGATATGGAAATGCATTATGTGTGTGTAATAATATTTCACATAGTAATATTATTATGGGTGTTTGTGCAAGACTCGCGCATTGCATTGGAATAATTATAAATCATTGTGAAAGGCTATGGAGTTTGCGTTGCAAACCATTCAGATGAAATGTGTCCATATATTGGTCTTTTAGTGCCATCTATTGGTTGTAACTGTGGATGCTACATCGGTCTAAGGCTGAGCTGAGTTGAGTGAGCAGTGTCATTTTGTGATATGAAATATGCCGCTATAGGAGGCTATTGCTTGTGTGTGTCTTGGCTACATTTGTGTTTATATTTGGTGAAAACTGTTTGTCAATTTAAGTTGGGAGACACAATATGTTAGGTCCAGGGGGAGAGGAGTTGGTTGAAGAGATTACCAGAGGGACGAGTTGTCCTCCGGAGCTCATAGTCTTGTGACATGATGATTATGATTATGATTATGTTTACCATATCATAATCAGGGGTGGAAGTAAGGCGGTACGGTATAACGTCCTGGCAAAATAAATAGTGGGGGTACGCCGTACCAGTAAAACGTGAGCCTATCACAATTAATACAACATGCCCCAAAAACTATAGGCTATTACACCATTATTTAACATTACTGCATGTCAGCCGCATGAAAAATTAGCGAATTGACTTGAAACTGGGTGGTATATGCTCCAATAAAAAATAAAAAAAAGAAGCTGTTTATTGTTTTAAATCACATAGCTTACAGTCGGAAGGGCATACAATTTGGGCAGCGGGCGCTGGAAATACCAAATAGGCTAGATGATTGTGGAGTTGCGACTGTCAGTGAAAAGCAGAGATCCAGCCAGCCAGGCATATCGCAATATTTAAAAATACAATCACGGAAAAACTGTTTGGAAAGCAAATAGCTATTGCTGTAAAGACCTGACAATGAAAAGACTCCAATCTGTCTTTTAGTTATCAAAATGCTTAACTTAATTGAGCGAACAGTAGCCTATCTTATTGGTACCAGCGGAGAACATCAGCCATATCCCCGATGAGTGTGCATATTCACTTTCTTTATCATTGGTTCAATGGCACTTTTTGTTTTTGGACAATAATTTCCTCCTTCAGGTTAGATGGACGTCATATTGTATTTGTCTTCCTCTTTTTCGTTGGCCGATTATATGAATCAGACAACATCGTTTTTATTCATATGTTTGTCAGTGTCAGTAAAGTAGGCTACCCTTTTAGTAGTATAAAAAAAAATGTGTGTGAGCACTTGGGTGTCCAGTACCGGTAAGAAAAATCTACTTTCACCCCTGCAATAAAGTGCTTCAAGGCAAGGACATGTCATGGCACTTGAAGTACATCTTTGAGGTCCATAACCTACTGTTTTACCTTGACTGTTTTCCTATCAAGGAATATTTTAACTTGCTCAATCCCTGTCTATTTCACTATAGGTTAGGTGTCATGTATCAGTGATTCATATAATAAATATTACGGTAAATACCTGAAAAAGTTATTTACATAAACTACCCAACAGCCCCCACCTCCCCATCCTAATAGAGCACTCACACACAGTCACAGTGACTCACGCACTCACGCACCTAGACACAGTGGTTTTGTCCCTGTTCACGGAGGACTGATAAAGTCAACAGACTCCGGTATGTCCACTCTCTGCTTCTCTGGTAAATGGTTGACAGGGTCCAACTCTATTGTAGGAGACATGGCTGTTTTTATCCTCTGAGGGCACAGAGAATCGATAAAAGAAGAAGTTCAGAGTCACAGACATAGTTTAACTTCTACGGTTTCTGCCAATGCCCAGAATGTATTTCCCATGCATTTTAGTTATGTATATGACTGCCATGTGTGATAGAACGTACAGTATCAAATATATCTGTCTGTCTCTCTCTCTTCCTCTTTAGGGCTCCTCTCCCAGAGGACCGGAGCCTTAGGACCGTGCCTCAGGACTACCTGGTCTGACGACTCATGGCTGTCCCTGTCCGCAGTCCCCCCCCCCCCCCCCCGGTCGTGCTGCCGATCCAGTTCTGCTGTTCTGCCTGCGGCTATGGAACCCTGACCTATTTCACCGGACGTGCTACATTCTCCCGGACCTGCTGTTTCGACTCTTTCTCTTGCTCTCTCTCCCACACTTGCTGTCTCAACCTCTGAATGCTCGCTATGAAAAGCCGACTGACATTTACTCCTGAGGTGTTGAACTGCTGCATCCTCTATAACCACTGTGGTTATTATTTGACCCTGCTCGTCACCTATGAACGTTTGAAGAACGATCTGGTCTTAATGGCCATGTACTCTTATAATCTCTACCCGGCACAGGCAGAAGAGGACTGGCCACCCCTCGGAGCCTGGTTTCTCTCTAGGTTTCTGCCTTTCTAGGGAGTTTCTCCTAGCCACTGTGCTTCTGCATCTGCATTGCTTGCTCTTTGGGGTTTTAGGCTGGTTATCTGTAAAGCACTGACAACTGCTCATGTAAAAAAATGCTTTATAAAATACATTTGATTTATTGATTTCTGTGTGTGCGTGACTGTGTGTGTGTATATGTGTGAGTACCAGTATACGTGTTCAGTATGTATGCATGATGCTAAAACAGTATCTGTGAGCTATACGTACAGTGAGGGAAAAAAGTATTTGATCCCCTGCTGATTTTGTACGTTTTCCCACTGACAAAAGAAATGATCAGTCTATAATTTTAATGCTATGTTTATTTGAACAGTGAGAGACAGAATAACAACAAAGAAATCCAGAAAAACTCATGTCAAAAATGTTATACATTGATTTGCATTTTAATGAGGGAAATAAGTATTTGACCCCTCTGCAAAACATGACTTAGTACTTGGTGGCAAAACCCTTGTTGGCAATCACAGAGGTCAGACGTTTCTTGTAGTTGGCCACCAGGTTTGTACACATCTCAGGAGGGATTTTGTCCCACTCATCTTTGCAGATCTTCTCCAAGTCATTAAGGTTTCGAGGCTGACATTTGGCAACTCGAACCTTCAGCTCCCTCCACAGATTCCCCGGGACCACCCATACACAAAATAAATAAAAAAATTATGCATGCATGACTGTAAGTCGCTTTGGATAAAAGCGTCTGCTAAATGGCATATTATTTTCTATGGGATTAAGGTCTGGAGACTGGCTAGGCCACTCCAGGAACTTAATGTGCTTCTTCTTGAGCCACTCCTTTGTTGCCTTGGCCGTGTGTTTTGGGTCATTGTCATGCTGGAATACCCATCCACGACCCATTTTCAATGCCCTGGCTGAGGGAAGGAGGTTCTCACCCAAGATTTGACGGTACATGGCCCCGTCCATCGTCCCTTTGATGCGGTGAAGTTGTCCTGTCCCCTTAGCAGAAAAACACCCCCAAAGCATAATGTTTCCACCTTCATGTTTGATGGTGGAGATGGTGTTCTTGGGGTCATAGGCAGCATTCCTCCTCCTCCAAACACGGCGAGTTGAGTTGATGCCAAAGAGCTCGATTTTGGTCTCATCTGACCACAACACTTTCATCCAGTTCTCCTCTGAATCATTCAGATGTTCATTGGCAAACTTCAGACGGGCCTGTATATGTGCTTTCTTGAGCAGGGGGACCTTGCGGGCGCTGCAGGATTTCAGTCCTTCACGGCGTAGTGTATTACCAATTGTTTTCTTGGTGACTATGGTCCCAGCTGCCTTGAGATCATTGACAAGATCCTCCCGTGTAGTTCTGGGCTGATTCCTCACCGTTCTCATGATCATTGCAACTCCACGGGGTGAGATCTTGCATGGAGCCCCAGGCCGAGGGAGATTGACAGTTATTTTGTGTTTCTTCCATTTGCGAATAATCGCACCAACTGTTGTCACCTTCTCACCAAGCTGCTTGGCGATGGTCTTGTAGCCCATTCCAGCCTTGTGTAGGTCTACAATCTTGTCCCTGACATCCTTGGAGAGCTCTTTGGTCTTGGCCATGGTGGAGCGTTTGGAATCTGATTGATTGATTGCTTCTGTGGACAGGTGTATTTTATACAGGTAACAAGATGAGATTAGGAGCACTCCCTTTAAGAGTGTGCTCCTAATCTCAGCTCATTACCTGTATAAAAGACACCTGGGAGCCAAAAATCTTTCTGGTTGAGAGGGGGTCAAATACTTATTTCCCTCATTAAAATGCAAATCAATTTATAACATTTTTGCGTTTTTCTGGATTTTTGTGTTGTTATTCTGTCTCTCACTGTTCAAATAAACCTACCATTAAAATGATAGACTGATAATTTATTTGTCAGTGGGCAAACGTACAAAATCAGCAGGGGATCAAATACTTTTTTTTCCTCACGGTATGTATGTATCAGTATGCGTGTTTGGTTTGGTTTACTGAACGGATGCTCACCTGCATCAGTGTGCCCTTATTTCTGCAGATCTCTTGCAGGGCTCCCAGGGGGATCCAAATGATGGAGACCAGGGAGATTCCCCAGCCCACCACCTCTGCCCAGACAGGGTATGTGTATGACTTCCCATAGCGAGCTGGTGTGTACTGGACGATGCTGGAGATCAGAATGCACTGCAGGGGAGAGGAGGTTAGGCTTGGATGAAAACTCTAATACAATGAAAGGATCATGAAGTCTTAGGTACAACTATCACTACTATTATGACTACAAAAAGTAAAACAACTACAAACCACAACAAATCCTCACCACCGTCATCATTATGCTTATTGTCCTCATCATCACCATCATAAAAACATGAGTCAGCCATAGCACTCACCAGGACCAGCACAGGGGAGAAGAACATCCAGCAGGAGCAGAAATAGATGTTGGGAGCCTTTCCCAACATCCTCTTGACCATGATGGTCATCCGCCGCAGTCCTGCAATAACACATTGTATTAAATACTTACATTTACTCCGAGACATACATACATACTATCTATAGAGCAAAGTGGGTTTTATTCCTTGTGTAAATACACAACATAATTAGGATGTTATATGTAATCAATTCCTGTAAGAACCAAGTAATTTTCAGGCTGTTAAAGTTCATCATAAAGGGTAGATTAGAGTGTTACCAAAAACCCAGCAGACAGCGAGGACCTCAAAGAAGGCCAGGAACATGAGAGACACCACAGCAGTGTAGTGGTCCATCAGCTGGAACACATACATGCCCCCCTGTGTGTGTGTATGTGTGTGTGAGAGAGAGTGAGAGTGAGGTTTAATTTTAAAAGGTTAATTTCCTGACGGCATCTTGTTCTCAATTTACTGGGGAAAAAGCAACCCACTCCACAAGACAGAGAATCAGCTGGTCAACCATGCACTGCTTACTGGCTGTATGTGTCTTAGTCGTCTACTGACAGAAACCAAAATAAAACAGGTCAAAACATGAGTATGCTGTCTAAGTCAGAGATAGAGAGATAGAAGGGGCGTTACCCAAAGGATAGTAATAATATCTGACAGGATCACCTTACCTTAGTGATGTGAGGAATGCCTAGAAGAAAGCCGATAACACAGACAGCCAGAACGATGATCTCCTGTCTCTTCAGGACACGCAGCACCTTGGGGCCACAGCCGTCCATTATGGACGTCACCGCCACCTCCACCATGGCAAACTGTAGGGCACAGTACAGTACAGCGTAAATTTACACCGATCTAGGTTTGAGACAGGCGCCTGTTTTTGGGTAGTGTAATGTAAAAACAGCAAATATCCATTGATATCTCTGGTATTGTTATGTGATTTCAACACTTTGAACTCACTAACCCTTTAGCTTTGAGGAAGAATTGCTTCCTGTGTATTCTATGATAAACAAATAAAACAATAAAATGCACAAACATAGCCTGTGTCAGAGTTTGGTTTAGTGGTAACACTGACAACTGTGAAATACACCCGAGGTCAGGTTTCAATTCCCTGGTCAGTTTTTTTCTCTACTGATGGTTACCTGCAGCAAATAACTGTCGGTCTCACAGTAATAGACCGTTAATTAACAAACACATTTAGCATGTCCTGGCTTCCACACATAGCCTACAAGCCACTGATGCAGACCTTTGGAACATCTACATTAAAAAAAGTATAATAAATCCATGTAATATAGCCTACACCATCACAATAAATCCATTATTTATTTTAGACAAGTCTAAAGAAGCATAATATGAAGAAAATGTAGTCTATTTCAGAAGAACAGAATAGCATACTCTGAGTTGTCCTTATGTTAGATCCTGATCTGGCTATGTCAAATGGCTTTGGGCTACACTAGTTCATTTAGCAGACAAGATTTGCTTAGAATTCCGTGGCATTATTTTATAGTATTAAGAATACAATTAAACATATCTGAATAAAATAGAAAGGACATTTTCTCCTAACGATTTGAGGGAATGCCGCACATGCGGTTATTCTGTGTTGAGCTGTTAACAAATAAATATGTACTCCTATATGCTTAATTTAGAGTAATTAATGTAACTTTAGTTGTTCTACAAACGTTGGGATATATGTTTTGATTTTTAATACATTGTAAGGTTGCATGATGCGACTCTAATGATGATTAGAAAAAAGTCACTTGAAATGCATGAGCTCTGCTTTATTTTTTGCGCAGGCTGTACACACTCAGTCTCTCATTCCCAATTTGACAAGCACTTGATAATGCCTAGAATTTCACGGCGGCATCCCCTTTCTGTGGCCGTAATGCACCCTAAAAACATCCATGCCTTTTGCTGCCAGTGGCCGTTGTGCCCTTCTCTCTGAGTGCTGCGCGCTCCATCACATGATCGGGTCTTTCTCACAGGCTATAAGTGAAGACAGACACATCGGGACGCAACTGCGCGCGTCCTTATCCAATTCCGAGGTGCATATTGAAGATATTGGAAGAACTGTCCACATTTACTTTTCATCAGCCAACAAGATGAGGAGGCCTAACGAACAGCAAACGCACTAGCCTATGTCAATCTACTATCCCCCATAGTACAAAAGTCGACCTCTTCTAATCTGTGCGAGAAATAAATATTCCAACATGTTGTGGGATGCGATAGATCCCAAATTAATACAAATTAATACAACCTCTAGCATCCCCAAAAACATGTTTGGAATGTGGCTGACACAACAGATCAGAACGTTTAGCTTAAAATGTTGATAAACTATTAGGCTATTTCTTTACATTATAAGCGCAGCAATGCGCACATGGTAGTAGGCTATAAGCGCGAATGTTCCAATAGTGGAAAACACCATTATCAAAAGTGACTGCAAATGCAATTATGCATGTAATGCTTTTATTATCAAGGTTCATTTTTATGGTGAAAATTATCTTTCCCAAACATGAAACTCACACGCTGCTTATGTATGCCAGTTAGGCTCTACACCCCTTGTAAAGCGGATGAATGTGCTTAATTTTAAGAAGTTATTTGGCCACTTTAGTTGTGATACAATCCTTATTAAAACATATAGGCCTATCGGCTAGGCTACATGTATTTGTATTTTTTTTATTTAACCTTTATTTAACTAGGCAAGTCAGTTAAGAACAAATTCTTATTTACAATGACGGAGGTGTGTGACTATGATTCGAAAAAGGTCACACAAAAAAAAGACATTGTTTCTTATGCTGGGCATCATTCACAAGTGATATATTATCACTTGTGAATGATATATTATCACTTGTGAATGATATATTATCATTCACAAGTGATAGGCTAATATTGTCACCCATCAGACTATTCTTGATTTAATCTTGTCTTTACATATACTAAATAATATATGTATTAAATTTGTTTTTATTTAGAATGGACCATTATCATGCACCTGTATCGAAACAGGGGCAGCGGGAAAAAATACATGTCATCTATGCACTTAAATAGCGAATGGAGAATGCTTTTCCCCGTGGTTTATTTTCATGCCAGCCAGGTAGGCTATCCTCCTGTTGTAAATATAAGCAATGTGCTTAATATTAGGAAAGTTGAGAAATAAATAGTAGGCCTAGCCTATAGAAAGCTGATGGGATCCTCCTCTTTTTAGTAGAGGACATCACTCGGTTTTCTCGTGCAATTGCATAGCCTATTGAAATGTTGCGCAAAATGAGCTCACATGAAGTGTTTGATTAGATTTTCGAAGGCATTTGCATTGATGTCAGAATGATTAGAGGGACAATATAGTGCTGAGTACCAGGCAGTTAGCAAGTTTGGTAGGCTACTAATGACCATCAGCAGCATCAGAGCTTGGAGAAGCCTAATTACCGTGACTAAACGGTCACGTGGAATCTGACTGCCTTTATGACTCGTGACCACCGGTGTGGCGGTAATACGGTCACCGCAACAGCCCTAACCTGCATGTAAAACTCTGGAACCTAGATGTAGCAGGGACCTTCAGGTTTTCCCTATGCCTGGAGAAAATTAACTGAGCAGTCGGGCAGTTGAGCCTGCTCTAAAGTTGCCCCAGGTGATTTATTTTTATGAAAACAACAAAACTGTAAGGAATTCCACTAGGCCTATCCTAAAACGGATCTTTCTCATTCACCCCCATTGTTTAAGTGAAAGACTGACAATTTATGGCATTTATGGCAGTCGGAAAAGTTGAGCCTGCTCTGTGTTTGTTCCATTAGGCAAGGGATTTAAAAAAAACTGAAAACAACCAAACTGCAAAAAATTCCAGTAGCCTAACATATCTACACTGGGGCGTCGCAAAAGCGGTCTGTTTCCTTTACCTGCTACACTGGAAGCGTAACTTTTGGTTAGGGCGTGGAGAGTGTGAGCCACCTGATTTTATTGCTCTCACAAGGGGGGGATTTACTTTACAAGCGGTATTCACCTAGCAAGAAGGCTAGGTAGTGCTAGGTATCAACAGCAATTGTCAACCAATCCAGTAGGAGCTGGAAGGTATGGTGAACTTCGATTGGTCACTCACGCCGCGATATATCGGAGGATTTGCATAAAGTTCATTAACACAGTCTACCTATGTCATCACTATTTGTTGATTTGAATAATTCCAGTCAATAATTTTGTATTAAAAATGGCCTAGCCAACCAAAGTTTGAATATAAAACAAATTTTTACACTATAAATACATAACATTACCACTTTGTTTCCCCTGGCCAGATGGGACAGGGCGCATAGGTAGGCTACAGTTGGTCAAACCGATTGCTAATGTTTACGTGTAGGCTGCTACAACACTTCTGTAAAAAGTTTTAGCTTGTGTATGTCGGGAGTGAGTTATTTTCCTGTTTGCTAAAATAATACCGGAGGAATGTGGAGTAGCGAGCTCTGCTTTCTATAGACGTGCGCCATGTCCAACCTGTGATTTCTGTGAATCTTATTGGTCAAGACACACACACACACACACAACCTGCAGCACTCTGATGAGAAGGACAGACTACTAATTGTGCTCAAGTTGACAAATTATGAGGCAAGTCAGTCAAAAAAAAAAAAACAGTAGGCCTACTTTGTCCCTGTTCTCAACACTTTTACATCCAAAAAAAGTGTATTAAACCAAATCAAAAGTGGTTGGGCAAATGCCTGCTCGCCACACGTTTGCCGGCGGCCCTGCTTCCTCTCTTCCCTCATCTGTCAGCCTAGCAGTTAAGAGTGTTGGTTCAGTAACCGAAAGGACGCTGGTTCAAATCCAAGAGCCAACTAGGTGAACAATCTGTTGTTGTGCCCTTGAGCAAGGCATTTGACCCTAAATGCTCTGGATAAGAGCGTCTGCTAAATGACTCAAATGTAAATGTCAAATGTAATCAATCTAAATAAATATTAAAAGGTATTGTAATTGTTGTATGACCTACAATGTCTGTTTTTTACCAAAAGTGGTCTCTGAAAATAGATTACATGACGACTAAAGAAAAACACGACGACTATGACAGAAACATGTTATTTAGTGGGTATATTATCGTTACACTGTATGCACTGATATGGGAAAAACATGTGCACTGAAAACTATAATTAAGTATGAGAGAGTGGCTTCTTCTTTTCATTATCGGCTTCATACCATAACCACAAGCGTGTGTGTGTGTGTGTGTGTGTGTGTGCGTGCATGTCTAACCTGACTGTCCAGTCCCAGGCAGAGAAGCATTAAGAAGAACAGAGGAGCCCACAACTGGGGCAGAGGCATAGTGGAGAAGACCTCTGGATACACCACAAACACCAACCCAGGACCTGTGGCACACAAACACACATGCACCATAGGGTGTCAAACAAGAAGGGTAAGAAAACACCCACAACATTAGCACTGGTGAAGTCACTGGTTTAGAAGTTGACAAGGCCAAAGATGCCAAATTGGAAACATTGTATTAATGAACCGGTTTCCCAGGCACAGATTAACCAGTGGTTATCTCATCCGACACTAGGAAATCAAAGCGTTCAATAACAAAACAAGGTACGCGGGACACCTTACCCACCCTCAAAAGACTTCAATAATTCATGCGGTTAAACTCATCAGTATTATGACCTAACAAAAAACATGTTACATTAAGGAAAAATTGTGGCATACAGTAAGATGATAGCAATGGTGATGTTATAAAGATATCTGGGTCGGTTTCATTCCATTCACAATTACCTGAGGAAGTGTCATGCTTGGAATGGGGGAAAAAACGATCTAATCATTCATCATAAGTCATCTTCCACAATAAATGATTCACTCGCAGACAACTGAACACTGTGAACACTTCTGAAGTCACCAGAGGTCAGTGGGTGTCAAAACATTTAGTCAGCAGTGAGTCAGCGGTATCCAAGACCATATTTATCCAAGACTGGACCTTTAACTCCAGATTCATCGCTACCAGCTGGCTACAACAAAACGGACGTAGCACACGCTAGCCGTGGCCTCTTACTCACTAGCACTTCACCACCGGACCTTACGATAACTCAGCTATACAGCTGATATCTGCTGGACTGTTCCTTTTTACGGTACTACATCCTGTTTATGTTTAGCCTCAGCCCAAACATGGTTAGTTTATTGTTGTTTAGGTTATTTCTAATTGTACTATATCACTGTAGACCCCCCAGCCTAGCTAAACCTGCCTTGGTTAGCTCCTTTGTCCCTCCACCCATACATTCAGAGACCGACTCAATTGATGCCTCTAGAGATACTATCTCTTTCAGTGTCACCCAACGCTTAGGTTTACCTCCACTTTACTCATATCCTTCCATATCCTTGTCTGTTCATAATGCCCTGAATCTTTTCTATAACACCCGGAAATCTGCCCCCTTTATTCTTTGTACCCAACGCACTAGAAGACCAGTTCTTAAAGCCTTTAGCCGTATCCTTATTCTAGTCCTCCTCTGTTCCTCTGGTGATGTAGAGGCTAACCCAGGCCCTGTAGCCCCCAGTATCACTCCTACTCCCCAGGAGCTATCATTTGTTGACTTCTGTAATCGCAAAAGTCTTGGTTTCTTGCACATAAATATCAGAAGTCTACTTCCTAAGTTTGAGTTATTCACTGCGTTAGCACACTCTGCCAACCCTGATGTTCTAGCAGTGTCTGAATCCTGGCTCAGGAAGGCCACCAAAAATTCTGAAATTTCCATCCCCAACTATAACATTTTCCGTCTAGATAGAACTGCCAAAGGGGGTGGAGTTGCAATCTACTGTAGAGATAGCCTGCAGAGCTCTATCATACTATCCAGGTCTGTGCCCAAACAGTTTGAGCTTCTACTTCTAAAAATCCACCTTTCCAGAAATAAGTCTCTCACTGTTGCCGCTTGCTACAGACCCCCCTCAGCCCCCAGCTGTGCCCTGGACACCATATGTGAATTGATTGCCCCCCATTTATCCTCTGAGTTTGTACTGCTTGGTGACCTAAATTGGGACATGCTTAATACCCCAGCCATCCTACAATCCAAGCTAGATGCCCTCAACCTCACGCAAATTATCAACGAACCTACCAGGTACAACCCTAAATCCTTAAACATGGGTACCCTCATAGATATCATCCTGACTAATATACCCTCTAAATACACCTCAGCTGTCTTCAACCAGGATCTCAGCGATCACTGCCTTATTGCCTGCGTCCGTAACGGGTCCGCGGTCAAACGACCACCCCTCATCACTGTCAAACGCTCCCTAAAACACTTTAGCGAGGAGGCCTTCCTAATTGACCTGGCCCAGGTATCCTGGATGGATATAGATCTCATTCCGTCAGTAGAGGATGCCTGGTTGTTCCTTAAAAGTAATTTCCTCTCAATCTTAAATAAACATGCCCCATTCAAAAAATACAGAACTAAGAACCGATATAGCCCCTGGTTCTCCTCAGACTTGACTGCCCTTGACCAGCACAAAAACATCCTGTGGCGTACAGCATTAGCATCAAATAGCCCCCGCGATATGCAACTTTTCAGGGAAGTTAGGAACCAATATACACAAGCAGTCAGGAAAGCAAAGGCTAACTTTTTCAAACAGAAATTTGCATCCTGTAGCACTAACTCCAAAAAGTTTTGGGACACTGTAAAGTCCATGGAGAATAAGAGCACTTCCTCCCAGCTGCCCACTGCACTGAGGCTAGGAAACACTATCACCACCGATAAATCTACAATAATCGAGAATTTCAACAAGCATTTTGCTACAGCTGGCCATGCTTTCCATCTGGCTACCACTAACCCGGCCACCAACTCTGCACCCTCTGCTGCAATTTGCCCATGCCCCCCCCGCTTCTCCTTCACACAAATTCAGACAGCTGATGTTTTGAAAGCGCTGCAAAATCTGGACCCCTACAAATCAGCTGGGCTAGACAATCTGGACCCTTTCTTCCTAAAACTAGCCGCCGAAATTGTCGCAACCCCTATTACTAGTCTGTTCAACCTCTCTTTCATAACGTCTGAGATCCCCAGAGATTGGAAAGCTGCCGCGGTCATCCCCCTCTTCAAAGGGGGTGACACTCTAGATCCAAACTGCTACAGACCTATATCCATCCTGCCCTGCCTTTCGAAAGTATTCGAAAGCCAAGTTAACAAACAGATCATCGACCATTTCGAATACCACCGTACCTTCTCCGCTATGCAATCCGGTTTCCGAGCTGGTCACGGGTGCACTTCAGCCACGCTCAAGGTCCTAAACGATATTATAACCGCGATTGATAATAGACAGTACTGTGCAGCCGTCTTCATCGACCTGGCCAAGGCTTTCGACTCTGTCAACCACCGCATTCTTATTGGCAGACTAAATAGCCTTGGTTTCTCAAATGACTGCCTCGCCTGGTTCACCAACTACTTCTCAGATAGAGTTCAGTGTGTCAAATCGGAGGGCCTGTTGTCTGGACCTATGGCAGTCTCTATGGGGGTGCCACAGGGTTCAATTCTTGGGCCGACACTTTTCTCCGTGTATATCAATGATGTCGCTCTTGCTGCTGGTGACTCTCAGATCCACCTCTACGCAGACGACACCATTTTGTATACATCTGGCCCTTCATTGGACACTGTGTTAACAAACCTCCAAACGAGCTTCAATGCCATACAACAATCCTTCAGTAGCCTTCAACTGCTCTTAAACACTAGTAAAACTAAATGCATGCTTTTCAATCGAACGCTGCTAGCACCCGCCCACCCGACTAGAATCACCACTCTCGACGGGTCTGACCTAGAGTATGTGGACAACTACAAATATCTAGGTGTCTGGTTAGACTGTAAACTCAACTTCCAGACTCACATAAAGAATCTCCAATCCAAAGTTAAATCTAGAATCGGCTTCCTATTTCGCAACAAAGCCTCCTTCGCTCATGCTGCCAAACATGCCCTCGTAAAATTGACTATCCTACCGATCCTTGACTTCGGCGATGTCATTTACAAAATAGCCTCCAACACTCTACTCAGCAAATTGGATGTAGTCTATCACAGTGCCATCCGTTTTGTCTCCAAAGCCCCATACACTACCCACCACTGTGACCTGTACGCTCTTGTTGGCTGGTCCTCACTACATGTTCGTCGTCAAACCCACTGGCTCCAGGCCATCTATAAATCACTGCTAGGCAAATCCCCGCCTTATCTTAGCTCATTGGTCACCATAGCAGCACCCACCCGCAGTCTGCGCTCCAGCAGGTATATCTCACTGGTCATTCCCAAAGCCAACACCTCCTTTGGCCGCCATTCCTTCCAGTTCTCTGCTGCCAATGACTGGAACGAATTGCAAAAATCTCTGAAGCTGGAGACTCTTATCTCCCCCAATAACTTTAAGCATCAGTTGTCAGAGCACCTTACCGATCACTGCACCTTTACACAGCCCATCTGAAATTAGCCCACCCAACTACCTCATCCCTATATTGTTATTTAATTTGCTCTTTTGCACCCCAGTATCTCTATTTGCACATAATCTCTTGCACATCTAGCATTCCAGTGTTAATACTATTGTAATTATTCTGCACTATAGCCTATTTATTGCCTTACCTCCATAACTTGCTACATTTGCACACACTGTATATATATTTTCTGTTGTATTTCTGACTTTATGTTTTTTTTACCCCATATGTAACTCTGTGTTGTTTTTATTGCACTACTTTGCTTTATCTTGGCCAGGTCGCAGTTGTAAATGAGAACCTGTTCTCAACTGGCTTACCTGGTTAAATAAAGGTGAAAAAAAAATAAAAAATTTGGGACTGATCCAAGCCTGAGCAGGTGCTTATCAGCAGAGTCCAGCAGGCACAATGGCTAACCCCAAATTTACTTTCTACAAAAAGGTCCTAATACACTGTGTGAACAATGGAAACGTTTGCTGTTACACCTACAGTTCACCTCAAGCTCATCCAAGTTTAATTCACCTTTCATTTCAGATATAATACAGTATTATTTTTGAACAAAATCCTAGAGGTAGACGTCCAAGTGGTAGGTAGACATCCACTATTCAGGGCACCATCTTGTCCTACTGTCTATGATTAGAAAGACTTAGTGGTTATTTACTTAGTTACTACCCAACAAACCAAAGTAGGTTCTGTGAAAGTTTCCCAGAACATTAATGGGAATCTTAGCTAATGTTCCCGGTTTGCTGGGTATTTTCTGTCCTGGTTATTCATCGACAATGACACTCTCATTCATGAAATAACTACTTGATAATCCATAATATTGAGCCAGTAATAAACACTTGTGGTGAGAAAGAGCGAGCACTTTCATCTCTTAATCCATTGTCTATCCCTATAACCAGTACAGTAGTTATGGTATTCTGTCTGAGAGAAGAGGGAGGGGGGGGGGGGATAACAGTCACTATTGATGCCTCTTTTCACATAAGTCAAATAAGTCCCACGGGGGGTATGAGAAAAAAAATATTTGTAATGTATGCACTAACTGTAAGTCGCTCTGGATAAGAGCGTCTGCTAAATGACTAAAATGTAAATGTAAGTCACACTGTTCACCTGTTAAATGATAGCAGAGAGAGCGAGAGCGAGAGAGCGAAATAGAAAGGGTTCATTTTAAAAATGTTAATTTCTTGACCGCTTCTTGTTCTCAATTTACTGGGGGACGAACAACCCACTCCACAAGTCAGCAGTGACTAATGCATCCTTTATAAATGTATATAGATTTTTTTTCATATTTCCAAAATTATCTGTGTGTATTTTAGAGCCTCACCAAATCCCGTTTCCCAAATTGTAGTATGGGAAATTCCTATTGGGTCACAGCTTAGGATAGGACTGAGGCTATAAATACTGTTCTGTTGATACAAATGTCTTTACACGGGTCATGACAGAAACTACTTTGGAAGCCCTGGTGACACTTTGGAAGCCCTGGTGACACACAAAATAATCTCTCCTTCTTCCTGAAGTGTGCACTCATTCACTACTCCACAAACATTTAAAAGCATTAGATTGGTGTAGACATGGGCTAAATGGAGTTTTCTATGTACAAGTCATTTCCATTCAAATCCATGAAGGGAAGTGAACAAGTGCACACTTCAGGAGAAAGGAGAGATTACTGGGACTCAAACCAGTGTGATGCAGCCTGGCCCAGCCCTCTGAGCTCCACCTGCCTCCCTGCCGCCGGCCTGCCTGCCAGGTAGGGAGGACACTGTCTGCCTCTACAAAAACACTCCCTCCAAACGCTGTAGTTTTCCACACTAGCACCCCAGAGAGAAGTGCATCCTTGTGAATGAATTCCTTTGTATTCTACTCTGTGCCCTTGTACGTTTTCCAGGAACTAATTAAATGAGGAAGGTGATGCTTCTGAACTCATTTGGACTTTTATGGGTATTATTCCCAAGAGTTATTCCCAAGAATATATGGGTCATGTTTGACATACTTCCCTATATACCCACTACACATACTGCACTAAACATCCATCTGTCAATGGTGAAGTTATTTGGTGGTGGTATTACTATGGCACGTTACCAATACCTACTGACTATGACAAATTAACACTCTTCAAGGTATTAACAAACTTAGTGGTTAAAAGGATGTGAAGAATCATGATCTCCTGGACCATGAGAGGAAGTTTTAGGAGACAATAACCCATCCAAACATGAAATAGCCACTCTGGAAATTAAACAGGCATTTAAACAGATGGATGACCAACATCAAAGAAGTCCCACTTGAACAGGAAGTACTTACCATCTGTGGCGATGTTGTCTACTGAGAGGTTGTGGATATGAGCCATGTAGCCAATGGCTGAAAATATCACAACGCCAGCCAGGATACTGGTGGCGGAGTTAGCTAAGGAGACAATCAACGTGTCCCTAGGGGAGGAACAGAAAACAAACACAGACTGATGATGGGATTTCTCATGGTCAAGTGGATCACTAAGGAGAACAAAACTAGCCATTTGGATTGAAGGACAGTCAAATCAAATCATATTTTATTTGTCACACGCGCCTAATTCAATGGCTGTAGACTTTACTGTGAAATGCTTTCTTACGAGCCCTTCTCAACGATGCAGAGTAAAAAAATTATAATAAAAAGAGAAATAGAAACAAAAGAGGAATAAAATACACATTAATGGAGCTACAGTATATACAGAGAGTACCTGTACCAGATCAATGTGCAGGGGTACGAGGTATTTGAGGTAGATATGTACATGAAGACAGGGTAAAGTGACTAGGCATCAGGATAGAAAATAATAAGAGTCAAATAAAGAACAGAGAAGCAGCAGCATATGGTGAGTGTAAAGGTGTGTGTATGTAGTGTATGTGAATGTGAATGTGGGTGGGTTTTGAGTGAGAGTGGCAGTGAAGTGTGTGTGAGTGAGTGTTTATATAGTGTGTACAGTGCATTAGGAAAGTATTCAGACCCCTTGACTTTTTCCACATTTTGTTACATTACAGCCTTATTCTAAAATATATTATATAATTGTTTTACTCATCAATCTACACACAATACCCCATAATGACAAAGCGAAAACAGGTTTTTACATTTTTGAAAATGTATTAAAAGTAAAAAACAGAAATACCTTATTTACATAAGTATTCAGACCCTTTGCTATGAGACTCGAAATTGAGCTCAGGTGCATCCTGCTTCCATTGATCATCCTTGAGATGTTTCTACAACCTGATTGGAGTCTACCTGTGGTAAATTCAATTGATCGGACAAGATTTTGAAAAGGCACACATCTGTCTATATAAGGTCCCACAGTTGACAGTACATGTCAGAGCAAAAACCAAGCCATGGAGGTCGAAGGAATTGTCCGTAGAGCTCCGAGACAGGATTGTGTCGAGGCACAGATCCGGGGAAGGGTACCAAAACATTTCTGCAGCATTGAAGGTCCAATAACACAGTGGACTCCATCAATCTTAAATGGAAGATGTTTGGAACCACCAAGACTCTTCCTAGAGCTGGCCGCCCGGCCAAACTGAGCAATCGGGGGAGAACGGCCTTGGTCAGGGAGGTGACCAAGAACCCAATGGTCACTCTGACAGAGCTCCAGAGTTCCTCTGTGGAGATGGGAGAACCTTCCAGAAGGATAACCATCTCTGCAGCACTCTACCAAATAGGCCTTTATGGTAGAGTGGCCAGACGGAAGCCACTCCTCAGTTAAAGGCACATGACAGCTCGCTTGGAGTTTGCAAAAAGCACCTAAAGGACTCTTAGACCCTGAGAAACACGATTCTCTGGTCTGGTGAAACCAAGATTTAACTATTTGGCCTGAATGCCGAGGGTCATGTCTGAAGGAAACCTGGCACCATCCCTACAGTGAAGCATAGTGGTGGCAGCATCATGCTGTGGGGATGTTTTTCAGCGGCAGGGACTTGGAGACTAGTCAGGATCGAGGGAAAGATGAACAGAGCAAAGTACAGAGAGATCCTTGATGAAAATCTGCTCCAGAACACTCAGGACCTCAGACGGCCCTAAGCACACATCCAAGACAACGCAGGAGTGTCTTTGGGACAAGTCTCTGAATGTCCTTGAGTGGCCCATCCAGAGACTGAACATTTAACAAAGTACTGAGTTAAAAGGTCTGAATAATTACAGTACCAGTCATATGTTTGGATTCACCTACTCATTCAAGGGTTTTTCTTTATTTTTACTATTTTCTATATTGTAGAATAATAGTGAAGACATCAAAACTATGAAATAACACATATGGAAACATGTGGTAACCAAAAAAGTGTTAAACAAATCAAAATAGATTTTAGATTTTAGATTCTTCAAAGTAGCCACCCTTTCCCTTGATGACAGCTTTGCACACTCTTGGCATTCTCTCAACCAGCTTCACTTGGAATGCTTTTCCAACAGTCTTGAAGGAGTTCCCACATATGCTGAGCGCTTGTTGGCTGCTTTTCCTTCACTCTGCAATTTATCCCAAACCCTTTCAATTGGGTTGAGGTCGGGTGATTGTGGAGGCCAGGTCATATGATGTAGCACTCCATCACTCTTGGTAAAATACCCCTTACACAGCCTGGAGGTGTGTGTTGGGTCATTGTCCTGTTGAAAAACAAATGATAGTCCCACTCAGCGCAAAACAGATGGGATGGCGTATCGCTGCAGAATGCTGTGGTAGACATGCTGGTTAAGTGTGCCTTGAATTCTAAATAAATCACAGACAGTGTCAACAGCAAAGCACCCCCACACCATCACACCTCCTCCTCCATGCTTCACAGTGGGAACTACACATGCAGAGATCATCCATTCAGCTACTCTGCATCCACCGGTCTAATGTCCATTGCTTGTGTTTCTTGGCCCAAGCAAGTCTCTTCTTCTTATTGGTGTCCTTTAGTAGTGGTTTCTTTGAAGCAATTCGACCATGAAGTCCTGATTCATGCAGTCTCCTCTGAACAGTTGATGTTTTTTTTTGGGGGGGGGGGGGGGGGCGGTATACAGAAGATGGCCCTATTTGGTAAAATGAGGCTGTTAACTCTGTGGAATTATCCTCTGCAGCAGAGGTAACTCTGGGTCTTCCTTTCCTGTGGCGGTCCTCATGAGAGCCAGTTTCATCATAATACTTGATGGTTTTTGTGACTGCACTTTAAAAGAAACTTTCAAAGTTCTTGATATTTTACGGATTGACTGACCTTCATGTCTTAAAGTAACGGTGGACTGTCGTTTCTCTTTGCTCGTTTGAGCTGTTCTTGCCATAATATGGACTTGGTATTTTACCAAATAGGGCCATCTTCTGTATACCGCCCCCCCCTACCTTGTCACAACACAACTGATTGGCTCAAACGCATTAAGAAGAAAATAAATTCCACAAGGCACACCTGTTAACTGAAATGCATTCCTGGTGACTACCTCATGAAGCTGGTTGAGAGAATGCCAAGAGTGTGCAAAGCTGTCATCAAGGGAAAGGGTGGCTACTTAGAAGAATCTCAAATATAAAATATATATTTTGATTTGTTTAACACTTTTTTGGTTACTACATGATTCCATGTGTTTTTTCATATAAAATAGTAAAAATTAAGAAAAACCGTGGAATGAGTAGGTGTTTTTTTATTTTATTTCACCTTTATTTAACCAGGTAAGCCAGTTGAGAACAAGTTCTCATTTACAACTGCGACCTGGCCAAGATAAAGCAAAGCAGTGCGATAAAAACAACAACACAGAGTTACATATGGGGTAAACAAAACATAAAGTAAAAAATACAACAGAAAATATATATACAGTGTGTGCGAATGTAGTAAATTATGGAGGTAAGGCAATAAATAGGCCATAGTGCAAAATAGTTACAATTTCATATTAACAATGGAATGATAGATGTGCAAAAGATGATGTGCAAATAGAGATACTGGGGTGCAAGTTAGCAAAATAAATAACAATATGGGGATGAGGAAGTTGGATGGGCTAATTTCAGATGGGCTGTGTACAGGTGCAGTGATCGGTAAGCTGCTCTGACAACTGACGCCTAAAGTTAGTGAGGGAGATAAGAGTCTCCAGCTTCAGAGATTTTTGCAGTTCGTTCCAGTCATTGGCAGCAGAGAACTGGAAGGAATGGCGGCCAAAGGAGGTGTTGGCTTTGGGGATGACCAGTGAGATATACCTGCTGGAGCGCAGACTACGGGTGGGTGTTGCTATGGTGACCAGTGAGCTAAGATAAGACGGGGATTTGCCTAGCAGTGATTTATAGATGACCTGGAGCTAGTGGGTTTGGCGACGAATATGTAGTGAGGGCCAGCCAACAAGAGCGTACAGGTCACAATGGTGGGTAGTATATGGGGCTTTGGTGACTAAACGGATGGCACTGTGATAGACTACATTCAATTTGCTGAGTAGAGTGTTGGAGGCTATTTTGTAAATGACATCGCCGAAGTCAAGGATCGGTAGGATAGTCAGTTTTACGAGGGCATGTTTGGCAGCATGAGTGAAGGAGGCTTTGTTTCGAAATAGGAAGCCGATTCTAGATCTAACTTTTGATTGGCGATGCTTAATGTGAGTCTGGAAGGAGAGTTTACAGTCTAACCAGACACTTAGGTATTTGTAGTTGTCCATATACTCTAGGTCAGACCCGCCGAGAGTAGTGATTCTAGTCGGGTGGGCGGGTGCAAGCAGCGTTCGGTTGAAAAGCATGCATTTAGTTTTACTAGTGTTTAAGAGCAGTTGGAGGCTACGGAAGGAGTGTTGTATGGCGTTGAAGCTTGTTTGGAGGTTTGTTAACACAGTGTTCAATGAAGGGCCAGATGTATACAAAATGGTGTCGTCCGCATAGAGGTGGATCCAAGCGTCACCAAGAGCAACATCATTGATATACACCGAGAATAGAGTCGGCCCGAGAATTTAACCCTGTGGCACCCCCATAGAGACTGCCAGAGGTCCAGACAACAGGTCCTCCGATTTGACACATTGAACTCTATCTGAGAAGTAGTTGGTGAACCAGGCGAGGCAGTCATTTGAGAAACCAAGGCTATTTAGTCTGCCAATAAGAATGCGGTGGTTGACAGAGTCGAAAGCCTTGGCCAGGTCGATGAACACGGCTGCGCAGTACTGTCTTTTATCGATCACGGTTATAATATAGTTTAGGACCTTGAGCGTGGCTGAGGTGCACCCATGACCAGCTCGGAAACCGGATTGCATAGGTGTGTCCAAACTTTTGACTGGTACTGTATGTAAATGTGATATTTCCGTTTAAAACAAAATACATTTTCAAAAAATTCTAAAAACCTATTTTTGCTTTGTCATTATGGGGTATTGTGTGTAGATTGATGAGACAAAAAACAAAATTTCATCCATTTTAGAATAAGGCTGTAACGTAATAAAATGTGAAAAAAGTCAAGGGGTCTGAATTATTTCCGAATTCACTGTATATACACTGTAGAGTCAGTGCAAGATAGGGTCAGTGCAGATAATTAAATGGTTACCTAGACTAAGTATTTACCAGTCTTATGGCTATTTAACAGTCTTATGGCTTGGGCATGGAAGCTGTCTCGAAGTCTCTTGATCCGATGCTCCGGTACAGTTTGCCGGACGGTAGCAGAGTGAACAGTCTATGACTTGAGTGGCTGGGGTCTTTGGCAATCTTTCGGGCCGTCCTCTGACACCACCTGATATAGAGGTCCTGGATGGCAGGGAGCTCGGCCCACAGTGATGTACTGGGTTGTCCGCACCACCCTCTGTAGCGCTTTGCGATAGAGGACGGTGCATTTGCCATACCAAGCGGTGATGCAGCCAGTCAAGATGCTCTCGGGGGTGCTGCTGTATAACTTTTTGTGGATCCGAGGGCCTCTGCCATTTCTTTTCAGCCTCCTGTGGGGGAAGAGGCGCTATCGTGCCCTCTTCACGACTGTGCGGGTATTTGTGAACCATGTTAAGTCCTTAGTGATGTGTGCGCCAAGGAACATGAAGCTCTCGACCTGCTCCACTACAGCCCCGTCGATGTGGATGGGGATGTGTTCTCCCCTCTTTCTCCTGTAATCCACGATCACCTCCTTGGTCTTACTGACGTTGAGGGAGAGGTTGTTGTCCTGGCACCACACTGCTAAGTCTCTGACCTCCTCCCTATAGGCTGTCTCATCGCCATTGTTGATCAGGCCTACCATCGTCGGGACAAAGCACACACCCTTGAGGTGGCGGATGTGTTTTTGCCTACCCTCACCTCCTGGGGCCGGCCCATCAGGAAGTCCAGGATCTAGTTGCAGAGGGAGTTGTTCAGTCCCAGGGTTGGAGGGGACTATGGTGTTGAACGCTGAGCTGCAGTCTATGAACAGCAGTCTCACACAGTTATTTCCCCTCTTGTCCAAATGGGAGAGGGCAGTGTAAAGTGCAATTGAGATTGCGTCATCTGTGGATCTGTTGGGGCAGTATGCAAATTGGAGTGGGTCCAGGGTGTCTGGGACAATGGTGTTGATGTGTGTCATGACCAGCCTTTCAATGCACTTCATAATTACAGATGTGAGTTCTACAGGGCGATAGTCATTTACCCAGGTTACCTTGTCTGTTAAGACCAGGGGTTGGAACCGGTTCAGGGACCAGAACCATTCTATAGCTAGAGGATTCTTGATATATACAGAAGAAGTATAATTTTTGTCTTAATCTGTTGTTATCTAGTACTGTCTTTTTGCTAGCTAGGGCCATCTACTTTAAGTGCTGCCTGTATTTCTAGTAGCCTACTTGGTGTGTGAACTGCTGACTGCTCATAACTTGCAGGTGATTGTTGACACATCAACCAGGATTAAGGGGCAGGGCAATTTGTGACTGTTGTGGTTTTGGTATCAGTGTCAGTGGTGGTGTCGTTGTCAAAACTAAGACCGTCGGTGAAACAAAGACGTTCTGCCTAGTTATTCGATGAAGGAAGAGAGGAAGGCTCCACACCACTCTCTCACTTGAATATCTTACCTAGTTATTTTCAGATAATCTAATTTTGTGTTTTGTAACTTTGGCAACGTGTATTTCTATCTCAGTTCGCTCCTCTCCCTGTAGGCTTTACAGACCCCTTGGCTGCAACCCTTCTAATTTAGTGTACCCTGGGCGCACAACCCATGTGGAATTCCTGGTCTCCGGCAGGATTTGGAACTGGCGATCTGCGGTCAAGGACGCCAAGTTAATCTCAGTCTCTAGACTTTTTGGCCCTGACGGAGACATGGATAACCCCAGAGAACACTGCTACTCCAGCTGCTCTCTCTTCATCTGACTATGTTTTCTCTCATAGTCCGACAGCATCTGGTCTTCGAGGTGGTGCAACAGGGCTGCTAATTTCTCCTAAGTGGAGATTTTCAATTTTTTTCTCCCTCACTCACCTATCCATCTCCTCATTTGAATTCCATGCTGTCACAGCCCAGTCCAAGCTCTTCTCTGTCTTGGCACCCCAATGGTGGACCACTTGCCAGCTGGTCTGCACGTGCTTTCAGAACACGCCCTGGTATTCCGTCTGGCCCGGTGGCCTTGAGAGTGATTCAAAGTTTTACTCACATTGACCATGGAGAGCGAGATCACACAATCATCTGGAACAACAGGGGCATTCACGCAAGACTCAGTGTTGTATTCCTCGAAGCAAGTATAAAAGGCATTTAACTTGTTTGGGGGTTCTGCATCACTGGGCATCTTATCGCTGGGTTTTCCATTATCGTATGCAAGCCCTGCCACATACGACGAGCGTTGGAGCCGGTGTATTAGGATTTCACCTTCCTCCTTTATTGTCCTTTTGCATGTTTGATTTCTTGTTGGAGGTCGTAGCGGGCTTCTTGTATGTGTCCATGTCCTGTTCCCTGCAAGCAGTAGCTCTTGCCTTTCACTCATCTTGGATATTGCCTGTAATCCATGTTTTGGGGTTTGGATATATTCATATAGTCACTGTGGGGATGACGTTGTCTATGCACTTATTGATGCAGCCCGTGACTGATGTTGCAAACTCCTCAACGCTATCGGATGAATCAAGGAACATATCCCAGTCTGTACTAGCAAAAAAGTATTATAGCCTTGTGTCTGCTTCATTGGACCACTTCTGTATTGAGTGCGTCACTGGTACTTCCTGTTTGAGCTTTTGTTTGTAAACAGAAAGCAGGAGAACAGACTTGTGGTCAGATTTGCCGAAGGGAGGACGAGGGAGGGCCTTGTATGCATTTCTGTCGGTAGAATAAAAGTGGTCTACAGTTTTAGTGCCCCTAGTGGCGCAGGATACATGTTGGTAGAAGTGAGGTAGAACAGTTTTCAGTCTCCCTGCGTTAAAGTCTCCGCCCACCAGAAACGCTGACTCTGGATGAGCGGTTTCTTGTTTGTTTTATGGCCCCATACAGTTCGTTGAGTACCAAAGTGGTGTTGGCTTGACAGATCTTTTGATGTACAAAGCATGATGGGTCTTATTGAGAAGACACAGTTAACTGCTTTTAGTCACCATGAGAGGCAGTTATTATTTTTTAACTATAGAATTACACTGTGGATCTGCATATAAATCATGTGATGGCAAAGACAAAGTGGTACAGGAGACTGCATCTCTAACCTGAGGATGTTATTGTTGAACTTGTTGTAACTGGCCATGGAGATCATGGTGCCAAATCCTATTCCAATGGAGTTGAATACCTGGGCTGCAGCGTTAATCCAAACCTGCAGTAAGGCAGAGGTAAGCAGATAAAAGGTGAGAGATGGACAATGTTTTAACTCGTACTGTAAAACAAGAACACAAATACACTTCTGGGCAGTTTCCTAGGCACAGATTAAGTCTAATCCTGGACTAGAAAGCTTTTTCAATGGAGATAATTTTTAGTCCATGACTAGGCATAATCTGTGTCTGGGAAACTGCCCATTAATCGTCATTCATCCTCTAATACAGTATGTCAGACCTGAACTTCAAGCAGCTTGCTCCACTTAGGCTTCAGGAAGTAGAGCAGCCCATTCTTGGCTCCAGGAAGCTGGACATTATTGATGAGCAAGACGAACAGAATGAAGTATGGGAACGTGGCAGTGAAATAAACAACCTAAAGCACAGAGAGTGAGAAGAAAAAAATACTCAGTAAGTATAACATGAGTTTAAATGTATTGTAGATCAAAACATACAAGATGTATGATGCGACATAGAGGTGGAATAAATTCTGTCTCCTCTAAATACCAGGAGGAGAAACATGATATTTGACACCCATCAGTTCTCCTCCAACACCCACCAACAATGTAGACCCCATGGCAATGGAAAACCTTTACATTTGAATAATGATTCCCCACTAACGAGACAGCCTGAGAGCATACAAAAGTTATAAATGTATACATTTAAGGACAAAGAGTATAACTGGTGAATGCAACCATTTAAAATGAAACAGTAATATCTATACATTTCAGTTAACCCAAGGGTGTCAAACTCATTTTAGCTCAGGGGCCACATGGAGGAAAATCTATTCCCAAGTGGGCCGGACCGGAAAAATCATGGTATATATAACTTAAAAACAACAACTTCAGATTGTTTTCTTTGTTTTAATACGATCAACATACAACATAAAGCTGGAGCCTGAGGACAGTGTGTCCAAAATAGTACAAGCACAACATCACTATTAATCATAAAACATGTCAAGTTTATTTGAAAATTCTAAAGAAAAAGAACACACAAACACACAATGCCTCAGTGATTAACAGAACTGTTTCACAGATCACAGAACTATATCAGGGTGTCATTTCTCAGGCAGAAATGTAGATAAAAATTATGAAATTATGTTCCCCAAACAAGTGCAAGAACCACAGAGTCAAGAATAGGTTAAATATACAAATAAAATAAAATCAATTAAAAACAATAGCACATCAACATAAAAACATATAAACATAAAGCTGGAGCCTGAGGACAGTGTCCAAAAGCACAACATCACTATTAATCATAAAACACCTCAAGTTATTTGAAAGTTCTGAGGACAAAGAACACAAACACACAATGCCTCAGTGATTCACAGAAGTATATCACAGATCACAGAACTATATCAGGGTGTCATTTCTCAGGCAGAAATGTAGATAAAAATAATGAAATCCTGTTCCCCAAACAAGTGCAAGAACCACAGAGTCAAGAATAGGTTAAATATACAACTAAAATAAAAACAATTAAAAACAATAGCACATCAACATAAAAACATATAAACATAAAGATGGAGCCTGAGGACAGTGTCCAAAAGCACAACATCACTATTAATCATAAAACACCTCAAGTTATTTGAAAGTTCTGAGGACAAAGAACACACAAACACACAATGCCTCAGTGATTCACAGAAGTATATCACAGATCACAGAACTATATCAGGGTGTCATTTCTCAGGCAGAAATGTAGATAAAAATAATGAAATCCTGTTCCCCAAACAAGTGCAAGAACCACAGAGTCAAGAATAGGTTAAATATACAAATAAAATAAAATAAATTAAAAACAATAGCACATCAACATAAAAACATATAAACATAAATCTGAAAGCGTTGCTCAAACTCCCGTAACAGTCCCGTTATTTTATCTTTGAACCGCTTCATGTCTGCCAAATGTTGGGTCGCGCACACATTTTTCAGACAGGGGAAGTGAGCTGCATCACCACCGGCAAGTTGCGTCTCCCACAATGACAGCTTCAACTTGAAAGAACGTATGCTGTCATAATACTGCGTGACAACTTTGTTGCGCCCTTGCAGCTGTTTGTTCAAGTTATTCAGGTGCTCTGTAACATCCACCATAAATGCAAGGTCCTGCATCCATTCTGCGGAATGAAATTCTAACACTGGTTTGCCCTTTTCTTCCATGAACTGTTCAATTTCTTCTCGTAAATCAAAGAAACGCCTCAGCACCGCACCTCGGCTTAACCATCTTACCTCAGTGTGGTATGGCAGGCCATAGATGTGGTCTTTCTCTCTGAGAAGGCTGTCAAACTGACGGTGATTCAGGCTTCTGGATCGGATGAAATTAACAGTTTGGATGACCACCTTCATGACGTTATCCATCTTTAATGACTTGCAACACAAAGCCTCCTGGTGCAAAATACAGTGAAAAGTCAAAAAATCACGTCCTCCATTTGCAGATTGCACTTTCTCTCTGAACTTTGTCACAACGCCTGCTTTTTTCCCGATCATTGAGGGCGCACCATCTGTAGCCAGGCTGACAGCGCGGGACCAGTCCACTCCGACCCTGTCCAGCACGCCGACGAGTGCTGTAAAAATATCAGCTGCTGTCGTTGTATCTGTCATCGGCACCAACTCCACGAACTCCTCGGTGACGGTCAATGTGTCATCAACTCCGCGGATGAAAATGGCCAGTTGTGCAACACCTGTAATGTCCGTGCTTTCATCAATTGCAACCGAAAACGCAATAAATGACTTTATTTTTTGCTTCAACTGGCTGTCCAAATCCACTGAAAGATCGGAAATCCTGTCTGCAACTGTGTTTCTTGTCAGGCTGATATTTGCAAAAGCCTGCCGCTTTTCAGGGCACACAATCTCCGCTGCCTTCATCATGCATGCTTTTACAAATTCACCCTCACTAAATGGGTTTGAAGCCACTGCGATTTCATTAGCAATGAGGTAGCTAGCTTTCACTGCAGCGTCACTGATGTCTCGGCTGTGAGTAAACACAGACTGCTGTTTCTTCAGACCCGCCAACAGTTCATTCACCTTCTCTCATCTCCGCTGTCCTTGAAAGTTGTCATATTTGTCGGCATGAAGACTCACATAGTGGCGACGAAGGTTATATTCTTTCAGCACTGCAACATGCTCTGAACACACCAAACATACAGCTTTCCCATTCAATTCCGTGAAGAAATAGGATGACCATTTTTCTTGGAACACTCTGCACTCTGCCTCCACTTTTCTCTTTTTTGACAGAGACATATTGGGGCAATGAGGGTGCCAAAGCACATAATGTTAAAAGTAGAAGCCGTAATAAATATCGCGGGCAAAACAAAGTAGCTCATTGGCTGCACGTGCTTGACCTACTTGCTCTGCCCCGGTATAAACAGTTTGCTTGCTTAACACAATTGCTATTGCGCCATCCAGTGGACGCAATTGGAACAGCAGTTTATTTTATTGAAAAATTGCAGCGCATTTTTATACTTTACAAAATTATTATTATTATTATTATTTTATTTTTAAATCATCTCGCGGGCTGGATTAAACCCGTTTGCGGGCCTGATCCGGCCCGCGGGCCGGACGTTTGACACCCCTGAGTTAACCTATACCACAAATTACTAACACTAAACAATCTACAGCTCTAAAGAGGAATAGCCATAAGCAGCTACTGTTGAGTGAAGAGAATGCACTCTGACCTTGCCAGTGGATTTGACGCCTTTGAAGATGCACAAGTAGACAATGACCCAGGCCAGGATAAGGATGCCAAACAGCTCCCAGCGTAGTCCTCCTGCCTCCTCAATACCATTGGTTATCTCCAGAAGTCTGTGACTGAGAGAGGAAGTAAGGGTCAGGATGGGAAACAATGCTAAAGAAACTTTCATAGCTTATCAAACTGTTATCTTTCAATAATACAAGAGCCCTGACTTTACAAAAATCTGGATGGGACATCTTTGTTTTGTGATAAAACAAACTATAACAATAACCACAAGAGTCCTGAGCCCTACCCATGCCAGCGACTTCTAGGCCCTACCACAACATCAATAAAAATGTGATTAATTGAAGAAGATTGGTGCTTACTCAAAGTATTGCTGACTGGCCGAATGCAGGTGGGTGGCATTGCCAGGGAAACCGATGGAGCAGTTACCTACGGCATTCCAGGTATTGTTGCAGGACTGCCAGGGGAAGTTGGCTTGGAATGAGTTGAAGAAGTAGTAGAGCGCCCAGCTCATGAGAACGTTGTAGTAGGTGCAGAGCACAAAGGAGATCACGACTGTGGCAATTCCCACACCTGTAGAGCAACAGGGAGGGCAAAGGGGACAAAGTCATGGAACTTTCCTACAATGGTGATGCCCCAGCAGCAGTAGCTACTTTCTCCTCTGGTGTCTTTTGTGTGTGGGCCTCCTTCAGATGTGTGCTGTATGTAGATCTGTAAAGGTAGGCATGGGTAAACAACAAATGGTAGTGCTCCCATTACCAATTAGCTGTTGACAAAGTTTTTTTTAAAGATACTGGACAAAGATTCTGACTACATGGTACACTTCCAGTTCTACCCTACAGTGTAGTACTAGGACCAATAAATCCAGCAAGAATATGTGAGGTTCCAAGAAAGATGAGGCTGCTATGTGCCTAAAATCCAACAAACACTTTCCAGGAAAGCCAAAGGACAAGAAAAATAATAATAAGGTTCCTGTACTAACAGGACTGACCGATTCAAAGCCATGCAAAACCAGAGGTGGGTATCGAAGGCAACATTGGCCAGGCATGTGCACAGATAGAGGTCTACCTGTGCCTGAGCACCTGCCCCTTTGCCCTCCCACTTGCCAAATGCCCTTTTGGGTGGTGGTATAAGATTATTTTTTTTGACCGTTTTTGTCATTGTTGTTCTGAACCAACTGCCCGCAAGTCGCCACCCACCACCCCGTCCGTTGGTTGCGCCTGTTGGTCTACCCTGGAGCTCGCACACGATCGGTTGCACCGGTTTCCCGGTCTGCCCACAGAGATTGCGTGCAGTATCCAAACATGAATGTCTTGAGATGCATGAGTGTGTGTAGCAAACTACATATTTTAAATATCAACCGTATTAAAAAGGTGTGATGGGTCCCCACTAAAAAATATGTTGCATAAAGCTTACTTCATAAAAAAAAAAATATTTTCACTGCATCAGGGATAGCGTACACACAGACGTTTCGGCTTTGCAGCCTTCTGCTGAATTCACGGGTTTTGCACACCAACCAAAGTTCTGGGAGAGCACAATAGTCCCCTTTTAAATACTGTATCAACAGTACTGCCACAGAAGCTGCAGCATAACATTTAATTAACACTTGATTTACATCATCAGTATTCGGTCTGGTTGGCTGATACTTGGAGCAGAGCGAGGCAGAAAGACAGAGAGGAGTGGCTGCATCTACAGACCCAACTCCATCCTTTCTTCAGTTCACATGTGTATCAGCAGCAGCAACCGAGGTAGTCGACTCTAGCTAACCACCATATACTAAAATATCCACACAGGCCACTAACCAGCCAGCCATATATTATGAGTTAGAAGATTATTAATATTATATTATGAAGTTATTATTTAGATAAATCACAATCCGTAAAATAATTGTCGAGCTAGCTTACTAGCAGATTTACATCAATCATCAACGATCAGCTGATAGCCCACCCACTTTTTATGATATCAATCATGTCTTCAGGAGGCAACTAGCTTGCTTACAATTTGTGATGAGTGAGTGTGTTGTTATAGAAATAAATAGACCTGTTTTTAATTATCTATTTTTTTTTCACCTGCCCCCTGAAACGTCTGTGCACAGCCCTGACATTGGCCATAACCGGGTCACAACTAAATAGGCCAGCAGTTCGTAATTTAGAATAATTCCACTCTATTTTATGGGAACTGAAGATGAGTCATATGGACATCTAGTTCCAGGCATCTGTGGATATAATGAGTTGGGATTTCATTTGCGACACAGTCTTTCAACAACATGATAAAAATATATCAAATTTAGAAAAACACAATAGGCATACATATTTTCAGTTGTGTTTATTCTTTAGCTTTATGTTGCAGTTCTTTTTTTGTGTGTGTGGAGGGGGGACTATTTATTTTTGTTTCTGGTAGTGTACAGAATGACTCAAGTATTAGAACTACATCCCTGGTGACATGATTAGATCTTATGATAAGAGTAGTCCAGGTTTACTACCTGAACTTGACATGGGTCCTCTGCTGTGCTGGGTCAAGTGTCTCTCAGTTGGACACTGAATAATCAAACATTGTGCAATTTCTCATAAGAAAACATCACTGAGAGCTGGGCTTAACCGTGGCAGCCAGCCGATTCACAATTAACAACAAGTTAATCTTATAATCGCATTAGTCAAAAACAGTGTTAAGAGTGTTTCTCTTCTCTAAACAGTTTTGAATAACAAAGTTATTTAGTTAAGTCCTTAGCTCCTAGAATATGTAGAGAGGTTCCAACAGTTTAGCAGTTGTGTATTCTAAAAGATAATGTAATAATTGTCTACTGTTCATAAAGCGTTCCACTGGACTCTGCATTACGGTATGTACATTAATGTACTATGAGAGAAGAACTGAATATTGACAAACAAATCCCTGTGAGGTCAGGTCATGTTTGGTGCCTCACAAAATAATCTCCAAAATGCTTCATGCCCCTAACTTACAAAAATACATTGAGTGTACAAAACAGACTGACCAGGTGAAAGCTATGATCCTTTATTGATGTCACCTGTTAAATCCACTTCAAATCACTGTAGATGAAGGGGAGGAGACAGGTTAAATAATTATTATTTTTTAAAGCCTTGAGACAATTGAGAGTTGGATTGTGTATGTGTGCCATTCAAAGCGTGAATGGGCAAGACAAAATATTTAAGTGCCTTTGAACGGGGTATGGTAGTAGGTGCCAGGCGCACCAGTTTTCAGTGTGTCAAGAACTGCAACGCTGCTGGGTTTTTCACATTCAACTGTTTCCCGTGTGTCTCAAGAATGGTCCACCACCCAAAGGACATCCAGCCAACTTGATACAACTGTGGGAAGCATTGGAGTCAACAAGGGCCAGCATCCCTGTGGAACGCTTTCAACACCTTTTAGAGTCCATGCCCCGACAAATTGAGGCTGTTTTGAGGGCAAAAGGGGGTGCAACTCAATATTAGGAAGGTGTTCCTAATGTTTTGTACACTGTGTATGTTGGCATTGTTAGCAGAGAAAGAATAATGGAATGCTGTGGACAATATGGATGGTGGGTCAACTAGAAAACACCTCTGTCAACACAGTGGTGGAGCCCAATATAACCCTACTGATCTCCAGGATCAGTTGGAACTACTGCACATGGTACACCATAAGCCTCCCTTCCTTTCATCCATCCCAGAGTTTGCACTTTCCCTTCACACCACTAATTAAGGGGATGGTCTGCTCTATTGGCTGGTCCAAACACACCCAGAGTGGCGTAATGGTGTTTGCGTTCTCCCTGTCAAAAAGGGTTCAATCTAGTGTTCAATAACAACCCAGGGCTGCTATACTGCTGATGACAGAGAATTTAGTAGAAGTGGTACAAAACATTAGATCATTTTAAGAATTGCTTAATTTTATGTACTGCGATTTAAGTTACATTAATTATGTGAATTGTAAGGGATCAGGGGTCGACCTCCAAATGTTCAATTACAGAAAAAGCAGATAAAATACAAAAAACATAAAACAAAACATTGTTTGTGTATATAAATCCACACACATACGTACACACAAACATACTTACAAAGAAATATAGGGCACACAACCAGAATAATCCTAATTCAAAAGCAAACAGATGTTTTATCAGTCGTTGTTAGCAGCCATCAGGTAAACTGAGCCCCTCCAGGAGTTATTCTAAAATTGATTAAATTGTTTTTTATCATTCTACACACAATACCCCATAATGACAAAGCAAACCTGTTTTTGCTTTGTCATTATGGGGTATTTTGTGTAGATTGATGAGGGAAAACTGTATTTAATCAATTTTAGAATATGGCTGTAACGTAACAAAATGTGGAAAAAGTCAAGGCGTCTGAATACTTTCCGAATGCACTGCATCATGTCAGTGTATTATTTAACTGGATGGAAAAAAGACTGGCCAACAGTTACAGTGCCTTAAGAAAGTACTCATACCCCTTGACTTTTTTCACATTTTGTTGTGTTACAGCCTGAATATTAAATTGAGATTTTTTTGTCACTGGTCTACACACAATACCCCTTAATGTCGAAGTGGAATTAAGTTTTTAGAATTTCTTAAAAATGAAAAGCTGAAATTAGTCAATAAGTATTCAACCCCTTTGTTATGGCAAGCCTAAATAAGATCACAAGTAAAAATGTCACATGGACTCACTGTGCGCAATAATTTAGTTCAACATCATTTTTGAATGACTACCTCATCTCTATACCCCACACATACAGATAATTATAAGGTCCCTCAGTCGAGCAGTGAATTTCAACCACAGATTCAACCACAAAGACCAGGGAGGTTTTCCAATGCCTAGCAAAGAAGGGCACCTATTGGTAGATAGAAGTTATTGATTACACTTTGGATGGTGTATCAATACACCCAGTCACTATAAAGATACAGGTGTCCTTCCTAACTCAGTTGCCGGAGAGGAAGGAAACTGCTTATGAGGCCAGTGGTGACTTTAAAATAGTTATAGAGTTTAATGGCTGTGATATGAGAAATTGAGGATGGATCAACAACATTGTAGTTACTCCACAATACTAACCTAATTGACAGAGTGAAAAGAAGGAAGCCTGTACATAATACAAATATTCCAAAACATGTATCCAGTTTGCAACAAGTCACTAAAGTATTACTGCAAAAAAGACGTGGCAAAGCAATTCACTTTTTGTCCTGAATACAAAATGTTATGTTTGGGGCAAATCCAACACATTACTGAGAACCACTCTCTATATTTTCAAGCATAGTAGTGGCTGCATCGTGTTATTGGTATGCTTGTAATCGTTAAGGACTGGGGAGTTTTTCAGGATAAAAAAGAAACGGAAAGGAGCTAAGAACAGGCAAAATCCTAGAGGAAAACATGGTTCAGTCTGCTTTCCACCAGACACTGGGAGATGAATTCACCTTTCAGCAGGACAATAACCTAAAACACAAGGCCAAATATACACTGGAGTTGCTTACAAAGAAGACAGTGAATGTTCCCAAGTGGCCTAGTTACAGTATTGACTTAAATCTACTTGAAAATGGTTGTCTAGCAATGATCAATAACCAATTTGACAGAGATTGAAGAATTTTGAAAAGAATAAAATGGGCAAATGTTGTACAATCCAGGAGTGGAAAGCTCTTCCACAGAAAGATTCGCAGCAGGAAATCGCTGCCAAATGTGCTTCTACAAAGTATTGACACAGGGTGTGAATAACTATGTAAATTAGATATTTCTGGATTTCATTTTCAATACATTTACAAACATTTCTAAAAACATGTTTTCACTTTGTCATTATGGGGTATTGTGTGTAGATTGATGAGGGGGAAAAAACAATTGAATCCATTATGAATTCAGGCTGTAACAACAAAATGCGTAATAAGTCAAGGGATATGAATACTTTCTGAAGGCACTGTATGCGTCTTAGAAGTAGTTTTCAGATACAAACTTTACATGTCTGAACTCAGAATCAAATATGCTTTCCAAAAATAACACAGTCGCAGTGGTAGAACGTTCATTTTGATTGCCAATTTTCTGCATTTATCAGAGTGCCATCAGGTTAATCTGACCATCCACAATAATCACATTATTGTGTGCATGTAACCATGCTCAATGTTTAGTGGCACCGGAACCTGATAACAGACAGTTATTTATCCCTTCCCCTTTTGAACAGCGTGGCAAACTGAGCCGCCACGTGTTAATCCCTTTACCTCTGCCAGGGGCCTACTGTTTGTATGCACTCATTAAAACATCATTGCCTCTTTGCTGGACTGTACCACGTTGACTAAAAACCAACAGGAAATGGTAGCTAAATGCTTAACAAAACCAGCCTGTGGCTGTTCTTGCACATAATGTGAGGCCTTGGTAAACAATAGGCCTGTGGATATCACTCACCTTTGAACAACGGGCAGATTTTGGCTAGAGCGTGCACTGGTCCCAGACGGGTGTACTGCCCAATGGCAAACTCCATGAAGAGCAGGGGGATGCCACACAGAAACAGCATGAGAAAGTAAGGAATGAGAAAGGCACCTAAAAGAAGGAATAGAAGGACACAAATAGATCAGTTATATATATAATATATATAATATGATAATATAAGAACAGTAAAGTACATTTCTTGTTTCATTTGTGATTCATTACAGACCACCATGGATCTGTTCCACGGTTGTAACTAGACGAAGAACAGCTAGACCGGAAGTTACTTTTCGTAGCAGGTCAGGAGAGCATTTTAGCTAACCCTAACCCTTTTCCTAACCTTCACCTAATTCTCCTAACCTGCTGCCACGAAAGTCACTTCCGGTCGTAGCTGTATACCACCTAGTCAAAATCTGTTCCACAGGTGCTAGTTAGAAAAATGACCCAATAGTGATAATTGGTTTAGAGAAGACAAATGACCAGGCTAGAAAGCACTTCAGATGACAGTAAATACATCGTACAGTGCCTTCGGAAAGAATTCACACCCCTTGACTTTTTCCACATTTTGTTACGTTACAGCCTTATTCTAAAATTTATTAAATTGTTTTTTCCCCACATCAATCTACACACAAAAACGGAAATATCACATTTACATAAGTATTCAGACCCTTCACTCTAGTACTTTGTTGAAGCACCTTTGGCACCAATTACAGCATCGAGTCTTCTTGGGTATGACGCTACAAGCTTGGCACACCTGAATTTGAGGAGTTTCTCCCATTCTTCTCTGCAGATCCTCTCAAGCTCTGTCAGGTTGGATGGGGAGTGTTGCTGCACAGCTATTTTCAGGTCTCTCCAGAGATGTTAGATCGGGTTCAAGTCCGGGCTCTGGCTGGGCCACTCAAGGGCATTCAGAGACTTGTCCCGAAGCCACTCCTGCGTTGTCTTGGCTGTGTGCTTAGGATCGTTGTCCTGTTGGAAGGTGAACCTTCACCCCAGTCTGAGGTCCTGAGCGCTCTGGAGCAGGTTTTCACCAAGGATCTCTCTGTACTTTGCTCTGTTCATCTTTGCCTCGATCCTGACTAGTCTCCCAGTCCCTGCCGCTGAAAAACATCCCCACAGCATGATGTTGCCACCACCATGTTTCACCGTAGGGATGGTGGCAGGTTTCCTCCAGACGTGACGCTTGGCATTCAGGCCAAAGAGTTCAATCTTCATTTCATCAGACCAGAGAATCTTGTTTCTCATGGTCTGAGAGTCTTTAGCTGCCTTTTGGCAAACTCCAAGCGGGCTGTCATGTTCCTTTTACTGAGGAGTGGCTTCCATCTGGCCACTCTACCATAAAGGCCTGATTGGTGGAGTGCTGCAGAGATTGTTGTCCTTCTGGGAGGTTCTCCCATCTCCACAGAGGAAGTGTAGAGCTCTGTCAGAGTGACCATCGGGTTCTTGGTCACCTCCCTGACCAAGGCCCTTCTCCCCCGATTGCTCAGTTTGGCCGGGCTGCCAGCTCTAGGAAGAGTCTTGGTGGTTCCAAACTTCTTCTACTTAAGAATGATGGAGGCCACTGTGTTCTTGGGGACCTTCAATGCTGCAGAAATGTTTTGGTACCCTTCCCCAGATCTGTGCCTCAACACAATCTTGGCTCGGAGCTCTACAAAAATTCCTTCGACCTCATGGCTTGGTTTTTGCTCTGACATGCACTATCAACTGTGGGACCTTATATAGACAGGTGTGTGCCTTTCCAAATCATGTCCAATCAATTGAATTTATCACAGGTGGACTCCAATCAAGTTGTAGAAACATCTCAAGGATGATCAATGGAAACAGGATGCACCTGAGCTCAATTTGGAGTCTCATAGCAAAGGGTCTGAATACTTATGTAAATAAGGTATCTGTTTTTTTTGTAATAAATTTGCTAAAGTTTCTAAAAACCTGTTTTCGCTTTGTCATTATGGGGTATTGCGTGTAGATTGAATCCATTTTAGAATAAGGTTGTAACGTAACAGAATGTGGAAAAAGTCAAGGGGTCTGAATACTTTCCGAAGGTATGTGGACACCCCTTCAAATTAGTGGATTCGGCTATTTCAGCCACACACGTTGCTGACCGGTGTATAAAATTGAGCACACCACCATGCAATCTCCATAGACAAACATTGGCAGTAGAATGGCCTTACTGAAGAGCTCAGTGACTTTCAACATGGCACCGTCATAGGATGTCACCTTTCCAACAAGTCAGTTCGTCAAATTTCTGCCCTGCTAGAGCTGCCCCGGTCAACTGTAAGTGCTGTTATTGTGAAGTGGAAACGTCTAGGAGCAACAACGGCTCAGCCGCGAAGTGGTAGGCCACACAAGCTCACAGAACGGGACCGCAGAGTGCTGAAGCGCGTTGCACGTAAAAATCGTCTGTCCTTGGTTGCAACACTCACTACCGAGTTCCAAACTGCCTCTGGAAGCAACGTCAGCACAATAACTGTTTGTCGGGAGATTCACGAAATGGGTTTCCATGGCCAAGCAGCCGCACCATGCGCAATGCCAAGCACCGGCTGGAGTGGAGTAAAGCTTACCGCCATTGGACTCTGGAGCAGTGGAACCACATTCTATGGAGTGATGAATCACGCTTCACCATCTGGCAGTCCGACGGACAAATCTGGGTTCGGAGGATGCCAGGAGAACGCTACCTGCCCCAATGCATAGTGCCAACTGTAAAGTTTGGCGGAGGAGGAACAATGGTCTGGGGCTGTTTTTCATGGTTCAGGCTAGTCTCCTTAGTTCCAGTGAAGGGAAATCTTAACGCTACAGCATACAATGACATTCTAGACGATTCTGTGCTTCCAACTTTGTGGAAGGCTTTTCGTGTTTCAGCATGACAATGCCCCTGTGCACAAAGTAAGGTCCATACAGAAATAGTTTTTCCGAGATCGGTGTGGAAGATCTTGATTGGCCTGCACAGGGCCCTGATCTCAACCCCATCGAATACCTTTGGGAGTCCCCACAGTAATGTTCCAACATCTAATGGAAAGCCTTCCCAGAAGAGTGGAGGATGTTACACCAACTCCAAATGAATGCCCATGATTATGGAATGAGATGTTCGACGAGCAGGTGTCCACATACTTTTGGTAATGTAGTCTATGTTGCCTTACTAGCACTCAAATACAGGAAACAATTAACTGTCAATGTTATTTCAAATTAATTGAAACTTCATCCATGTTAGTGCACCAACCATTGTCTATTAATACCACTACTACTGCATCTCTGTTTACATAGTTTACAGAACCCTCTCTCAGTAACTGGAGAGAGGGCTGAACTGCAGGGGGACGGTCATATGGTCATTATCATGACAACTAGCTAAACACTAAGAAGGGTGAATAGACAACACATGGTGTCTTACAATAATGACAGTGTCTAATTTCCCTACGCTACAACTAGGATAGTCATTATAGCATTATACTTGTTTCAAGCACTCCGATGAGGGAATGAGATACAGGCTCCTCATTGTAATTTTGACGGGTGTGATCTGATTTTGAAGTCGCAGACAGGGCTACCTCATCACGAGCCCGACTCATGTCCGTTACATTCAACCCCCTTTGACCTCCTCCCCCACGAGTGGCCGTCCCACAGTTGGGCGCCATTGTCGTGGGCGGAATCTGAACCCTGGTCTCACATGGGAGAAACAAACGTCTTGACCATTAGACCAAGAGGGCTACGTCATCATGAGACCTGTCACACTCTGGTTCTAGGACTTTTTGTGTTTAGTCAGGGTGTGTAGATTTCCGTGTGTTGTGTACTGTGGGTAGTGTCTAGGTGTTCGCGTTCTATGTTTGGTCAGTGACTCCCAATCGGAGGTAACGAGTGTCAGCTGTCGGCTCGTTATCTCTGATTGGGAGCCATATTTAAATGTCTGTGTTCACCTTGTGGTTGTGGGTTTTTGTTCTTTATTCAGTCGGTGTAACTGAGGACGTCACGGATCGTGTTTTGTTTTGTCGTGTGTTTAAAAATTAAAATCATCATGTTCACTCCCAACGCTGCGCTTTGGTCATACTTCATTGGCGATCGTGACAGAAAAACCCACCATAGAAGGACCAAGCAGCGTGTCCAGGAGCAAGACAGCTGGACATGGGAGGAAGCGCCTGGTAAGGAAATCGAGAGGCTGGCGATGGCCCAGGTGGGCAAATCGTGGTCCTGGGAGGACATGCTCGGGGGCAAGGGACCTTGGGGGAAGATCAAGGCCCTGGCGAGAGAGGAGCAACGGCGTCAGCAGGGCCATCATCGTTGGAAGGACGAGAGGCAACCCCAAAAAGTTTTTTGGGGGGGGCACATGGCTTGGGCGACTGAGCAGCAGGAGGCTGCCACAAGGCAGATTCAGAAGGCTACCAGGTTAAGGGGGCTGACGGAGGCAGAGAAGGGACGGATTCAGGAGGCTACCAGGTTAAGGGGGTCACTGGCCAAAGTAGGGAAAGGAGATGTAGAGGCACGGCGTGAGAGACTGAGGTGTGTATCCAGTCCGGTCCGGCCCGTTCCTAATCCCGAGGTACAGCCAGTAGTGTGTGTCCCCAGTACGGTACGGCCTGTTCCGGCCCCTCGCACTAAGTGTACGGTGCGCGTCGCCAGCCCAGCCCGGCCTGTTCCTGAGCCTCATACGAAGCCTACGGTGCGCGTCGCCAGCCCAGCCCGGCCTGTTCCGGCCACTCGCACCAGGGATACGGTGCGCTTCGCCAGCCCGGCCCGGCCTGTTCCGGCCACTCGCACCAGGGATACGGTGCGCGTCGCCAGCTCAGCCCGGCCGGTTCCTACTCCTCGCACCAGAGATACGGTGCGCGTCGCCAGCCCAGCCCGGCCTGTTCCTGCTCTCCGCACTAGCCCTGAGATGCGTGCCCTCAGCCCGGTACCTCCAGTTCCGGCACCACGCATCAGGCCTACGGTGCGTCCCCAGGGCCAAGCATGCCCTGTTGCTGCTTCCCGCACTAGCCCTGAGATGCGTGTCCTCAGCCCGGTACCTCCAGTTCCGGCACCACGCATCAGGCCTACGGTGCGTCCCCAGGGTCCAGCATGCCCTGTTGCTTCTCCCCGCACTAGCCCTGAGATGCGTGTCCTCAGCCCGGTACCTCCTGTTCCGGCAC